CACCCAGAGAACAGGTGCCTGCTTAGATACCTGCCAATAAGTATGAGGGTGGAGGTGAGAGCTCCTAGGCACAAGAATATTGATGCCTGGCACACACAGGTTGATGTGAGATACTTTGGCTTCTGGGCCTGTCTTTCCCTGAGGAAAACGGGCTTTAATGATCTTATCTCCAAGAACACCATGTTGTTATGTGTCATTGAATCGGTTCTGACTCATAATGACCCTGTATAGGGTTCCCAAGGAGCAGCTGGTGGGTTTGAACCACTGAGCTTGTGGTCACAGCCCAGTGCTGATCCTCCAGGGCCACACCAGGAGACCCAAAACACATTGATATTATGGCAATGGTTGTAGGTAGTCACAGGGTAGGTGCTCCCAGAAAACAAGAGGGAAAGCCAGAGTCGGGAAGCCCTAGGTGCATCCAAGCTTTGATTTAGGAAGTAAAGCATTTGTCTTCTTTTTGATTCCTGGAGTCAAGGGTTCCTTTCCACTTTTCCCGGTCAAAAGGATGTTTGTGTAGTGGGCCAGAAGAGAGATAGATGCAGCTTGGAAATGAAAACCAATCTCCTGCTAATTCTACTTTAAGTCAGATTCTCTTTTAACATTGTTTTGCCTCAGTCTCTTTGCCACTGCTGGACTTCTAAGTGTTGGTAATCCCTATCGTGGTCTTTGAACTTAGGGGCTTTTTACTTATCGGACCTTCAGAAGTCTAGAACTTCTGACCTCTTTCTTTACTGTCTCCCTTTTCCAAACTGTCACCCAACCTTCTGCCTGGTGACTTTTCTACAGCAGTCCTCATCTGTCTCCAAAAGCTTTTGTTTCCAACTGCCAACAGAATGAAGAACCACTTAGCTAGGAATTCCAGACTGCCTCCGTTTGCCCGTGCAATTTCAGAGCTCATCTCAGTACAAACGGAATCATGGAGTTTAAGTTAAGTTCAGGTAAATTCAAAATGATAGGGGCTTGGGGGTTAATGCGCTGCCCTGAAAGGTCAGTTTGAACTGCAAAGTCGATGGTTCAAACTCACCCACCGCTCCTTGGAAACCCTATATAGGGTTGCTATGAGTCAGAACCGACTCAACAGCACTTAACAAAAACAAGATAGGGAAGTCCTGGTGTGGCACTGTAGGATAAGCACTGGACTACTAACCACTGGTCAGGGGTTCAAATTCACAAGCCACTCCGTGAAAATCCTATATTAGGTTGCTATGAGTTGAAGCTGACTCAATGGCACTTAACAACAAACAAGACAGAGGAGCCCTATACAAGTTGGGCTCTATGGGAGAAAGATGAGGCTTTCTGCTCCCATAAAGATTTTCAGCCTCAGAGAACCCTATACAGGGTTGCTATGTCAGAATTGATGCCATAGCACACAACCACTACCAAACAAGATAGAGTCCTGGGTGGCACTATAGGACTCCAACCACGAGGTTGGCAGTTCAAACCTACCAGCTGCTCCTTGGAAACCCTATACAGAGTCAGAGTCACTATGAATCAGAACCGACTCGAAGGTACTTATCATGAGAAGGAGCTCTGGTGGCACTGTGGGATTAACATTGGACTATATATAACTGCAAGGTTGGCAGTTCAAATCCACCAGCAGGTCTCTGGGAGAAAGATGAGGCTTTCTGCTCCCATAAAGATTTACAGCCTTGGAAACCCTATATGGGGTCGCCATGAGCTGGAATTGACTCGGTAGCCATGGGTGGGAAACAAGCTAAGAAGTCCCAGTGGTGCAGCGGTTAAGTGCTTGGCTGCTAACCGAAAGGTCAGCAGTTCCAACAATGTGGCATGCCGTCTGCGTCCCTAGATTTACAGCCTTGAAAACCCTATGGAGTAGTTGTGCTCTGTCCTGTGGGGTCGCTGACGTCAGAATTGACTTGCCAGCAATGGGTTTCTCTGGTAGCGTAGTGGTTACGACTTGGGCTGTGAACCGCAAGGTCAGCAGTTCGAAATTACCAGCTGCTCTGCGGGAGAAAGATGAGGCTTTCTACTCCCGTAAAGATTTACACCCTCGGAAACCCTGTACAGGGTCGCTATGAGTCGGTTCCGACTCCACGGCACATAACAACAACAACAACAATGGTTAAGTACTGGCTGCTGAACGCAAGGTAATTTGAGCCCGTCCAGCTCTACAGGAAAAAGACCTGGATATCTGCTCCTGAAAGACTGAAAACACAAAACAAAGAACCCCACTGGCCATGGAGTTGATTCTGATGCCTACTGACCCTATAAAGGATTTCCAAAACTGGAAATCTTTACAGTATCAGATAACCTCATCTTTCTTCCGCAGACCTTGTGACTAGCTACCCAGTGTCTAGCCCACAACACTGCCAGGCGTGGAAAACCCGATGGGGCAGCTGTTCTCCACCACTAAGCTTTGGAGTTGACTGGGCAGCACATAACAAAAAAGATACAATCTTATTTCTCATGTAAAAGAAGACCTGAGGTAGACCTTCTGGGACCTCTGGGCTCCTTTGATTTTGTTTCTCATTTGTCCTTTAAGTACACACTCCAGGAATTATGTCTGTATCCCAGTAAGGAGAAAGGTGGAGGGAAAGAAAAAGGTACAGGATGCACTATTGCCAAAGTTTCCTATAAAAAGGATGCGCGGCACAGGTCAGAATGTGTTAGCTGCAACAGGCTGGGAAATGTAGTGCGAGTCCAGTTTGTCATGTGCGCATGAAAAGATGTGGGTGTCACATCTAAAGGAGACTATTGTTGTTAAGTGCCGTTGAGTAAGTTCCAACTCATAGCGACCCTGTATAGGGTTTCCAAGGAGTCGCTGGTGGGTTTGAACTTCCAATCTTGCAGTTAGCAGTCCAGTGCTTATCCTATAGCACCATACCAGGACATCAGGAGACAATTCTTAGGGAACATCAGAAATTTCTGACAGAAATGTCACCTTTCTATGGCTTTGCTTAATATGGTCCCTTAGTCTATAATGTTCCTTTTACTTCCTTGCTTGAGAAAATGTAATCATCTTTTAAACACCAATTCAAGAGTCACCTCCAGACCTGTACCAGTTGCCCTTGAGTCGATTCTGACTCTTGGTGACCCCAAGTGTGTCAGAGTAGAAGAATGCTCCATAAAGTTTTCAGTGGCTGAATTTTCAGATGTTGACTGCCAGGCCTTTCTTCTGAGGTGCCTTCAGGTAAATTAGAACTACCACCATTAAGTTATCAGCCAAGCACGTTAAACTATCTGTACCACCTAGGGACTCTTTCAGACCCCTATGGATATAATAAATAACTCTCAGAAGCCCCTCCCTGAGCTCTCTAACCAGGTTATTAAGTACCACTCTCCTCATCTGTGTTCTATCAGAGAGGCCTGCTCCCTGACCCTGGCTGCAGGCCCATCAGGTTCCCTCATGCCCATCCGTGGGTGCCTGTTGAGCAGCTTCCTCTGCCCCCCAGTCTCTTGAATACTGACCATCTATATACCTCATCTGTCCTGCTACTTAGGGGGGTGGGGGGAGGAGCTGGGGTTGATCCTGAGCCAGTTACAAACAGCACGTAGGCTGAAGTGGAACCCTTTTTTCCAGAGGACACACAAGCTCCTCCCAAAGGCAAGGTAATTCTACTCGGAGGTGGTCTGTACATTTGCACCCAAGTGAATCTAGTGTACTCTGGCCTTCTCTCCAAATCCTGACTTCATGGCTCTCCGATCTGACCCCCAGCCCCTCCACCGAGCTCCCCTTTCTCACACTCTTCCACGTTACATCAGACTGCTAGCCGTTTCCTGAAGGGCTGGTCCTTGGACCGTCATACACTCACACATGCTTTCCTTGGAGCACCCTTTCCTTCTTTCTTTCAAGATTTTCTCTGGTCACCTCCTCCGGGAAGTCTTCTTTAACACCCTCAGGCTGAGCAGGGGCACCCCTTGAAGCAGCCCTGTTTCAGTGGCTGTCTCCCTCACTGGGCTAAGCCATTTGAGAGCCGATGCGGTTTCTGTTGGTATTCCCAGTTCCAGGTACATGAGGCTCTTGAGACACACTCTCTGAGTGGGGCGCTAGACTTATGTGTGCAAAAGACCAGGTGACAAGGGCGGACATCTCACCGTCTCTGTCCTCTGCTTTGGGTACACAGATCACAGAGTCAGCATGCAGCCACACAATGGCGGTCTCCTCTGCCTCCCACTTCACACCTCACTGCCAGGATGACCTCAGCTGTGCATTCATAGCGCCCCACACAGCTTCCTTATAGCACTCACCGCTGTGGACTCACTGTGGGCTTCCTTGTGTAGGGTTGACTTTCTCAAAAGTGGCCTTTGCATGTCAGGCTCAGTACTCAGTGGTGGTAGGGGGGCTGTGCTGTGTGTGGTAGGGATGTTTTACAGCATCCCTGACCTCTCTCTACTAGATGCCAGTAGCACCCCTACAATATGGTCACCAAAAATGTCTCCAGAGAACTGAGAAATGTCACCTGGGGGTCAGACTGCTTCCAGTTGTGAATCACTGGTAGAAGAAGGGAGGCATGGAAATCACCTGAGGGTGGTCTGCTTCTTTGGTTCCCTGGGTTTTGATGGCATCATCCTGGCAGCTGGCTCGCCCCCTGCCCCACACTGAGCTGCGCACCACCTGGGAAGTGAGACAGACCTTCCTTTCACAAGTCTTCTCTGTGGCCCTGAAGGCGACTTGAGTGTGGAGATCATCCTCTTACTGGCTTTTGTCCCCACCTAGGCTTTGCTTTCAGGAGGTCTGGAAATGATCCAGGAAAATAATGCAGGAAGGAAAGACAAGGCAGGAGCTTCTTAGGGCTGTGTGACTGTGAGATGACACACGCACAGTGAGCCTTCCTGACAGGGAGGTGGGGGCTTCTTTTTTTAGGAAGTTCAGACTTTATTAGGTAGGCTGAGGTTGGCCCTGGGGCAGCCCCGGCTGGTTTCCAGTCATCCCATCAGGCAGTGACACCAGGGTAAGGTTGAGGGCACTGACCGAGGGGACTGAAAGCAGTCCTGTGTAGTATCTCCCCTCTCCCTGTAATCTGGCTCCTCCGGGATCCTCACATGGTGAGGATCTGCTTTGAAGACATGAAAGGCTTCATGGAGACTTCCAAGGCTCGCTGGTAGTCCTGCAGGGGATGCTCAGAGCAGGCAGGCGCTGTGAGCTGGCCTCGGCCGATGAAGTCACACAGGGTGAGGATCAGCTCCTTGAACTGGTCTGTGGGAAATTGGAGGAAGTGTGTGTGTGTGGGAGATCTGCTGAGTAAAGGAGAGTGTGTAGGCAATGGGGTGAGGACAGGGAAAGGTGGGGAACAGCCCCAGGAGCTGCTGGCTGAGATGGCTCAGACCCATAGAGCTTGACTGGGATGAAACCAGGAGTTCGAATGATGAGAGGACCAGGCTATCTGGGAGGCTGGGCACCAGAAACAGTAGGGGGTGGGGGTGCCTGGCACACCAACTGACGTAGAACCAGTGAGCTTCGCTCTGAGAGGGGCTCTTCCCTCAGGAGCCCACAAGTTGAGGCTGCCAACATCTCCTGGGATCTACATCTCCTACTAAGGACCCAATATGGCACTGGAAATGCAAAGTGAAGGCCTGGGGGCCAGGGGCTTTTTCTTTTACAGGCACAAATCCATTCAATATTCAAATCGAATTCACCCCTTCAGCAGCATCCCCATGCCTTGTAAGATGGGGTCTGAATTCCTTAAAAAGGTTTAAAGGGACTTTTGAGACCTGGGCATGACCCTATTCAGCGTCCCATGCTCATACAAGTGTTCCAGCCACGTTTGGTGCCCTGGTGAGTCACCTCCCTCTCTGATGGACTTTGGCACAAGCTATTTTTCCTGCTTGAAACACTGCATCCACATCACGTCTCTCCTGCGGCCACTCTGCAGTGTCAGCGAGGGGGGCATGCTGGGGGGAGCCAGTCTCCCAGGCGAGGAAGAACTGCATTGGAGTAGGTTTGGAGGCCAGAGAGGCTGGCTTTTCACATTGGCTGCACCACTCCCTAGGTGAGGAGGCAAGGGTGACTTTGGGCAAACTACTTAACCACTCGGACTCTAGGTGTCCTCCTCTGTCAAATAGGCTAATCGTACATTAAACTACTATGACAATTTAGTAACTTGTCTATAACCAGGAATGGTGGAAGTGGGATTTGAACCCAGGTAGGCTTCAGAGACATTCTCTTTACTTGACAGCATTGCCCATGGTCTGCTCCTCAGGATGGAGGTGGGGTCTGTCCTAGATAACACCGTGCCAAGGTCTAGCCCAATTTAGCCCAATAACTATTTGCTGGAGGAAGCTGTGGCTGGAGGCTGTTTCCCCTGATCCTGCTATGGTCAATCACCTCTCCAGGGTTTTCTCTGGTGACTTCTGCAGCCATGCTCAGGCACTGCCCTCTCCCATGAACCTCAGCACCAGGGCCTTCATCCACTCACCTGGACTGTGGTCCTTCTTCCACTGAGACAACCAAAAGCCCCGAAGTTTGAGATCCTTAAAAATGAGCAGGCTCTGTGGATGCAGGAAGAGCATGATGGGCTCAGTAGGCAAGGACTTCAGGTCCTGACGAAAGGTACAGATCCCAGCCAACCCCAGGGACGGGGCAGTGCCCGAGTCTAGACAACTATAGTGTTGGGGAAGCGGTCCGGCTAAGGTGCCCAGACCCACCACCAGGTGTGTCACCCACCACCAGGTGTGTCTTCCTAATCAGCTTACCACAGAGGCTGTGACGGGCTGCTTGGCCATTCCCCCATAGGTTACCATGGTTCCTCCAGGCCTGAAGAGTCCAGAGAGAACAAAGAGAGGATGTAGGCAGTGACAGACCATACTGAAACCTGCTACTGCACTTATATGACCACCCTGGTTGCTAAACCTGGCTCTCAGAATCCCTAGGAAGGTTTTTAAAATACAGTCTTAGGTGTGACCCCAGACCTAATGCGTCAGGAGGCAAGACTCTGTATTCATTAAACACAACAAACAAGCAATCAAGTCTGCCCTCCCATTCAGATGAGTTGGCAGCTAGGTTTGGGAACCCACTGATCCAGACCCTCCCCCCGCCCCCCTTCATGCTTTGGTCAAGTGCTGCAAAGCAGCAAGTTGTGTGGAGAAAAGTTCAAGACCCATGCTCGGTCCCGGCCCACTGGGCAATGTACTGAAGCTGGCTCATCTATCAGTGATGGGACAGTGTAGATGGGGTGGAGGACTTGTCAGTACCCACATATACTTCAGAGCTCCCAGAAGGAACCAACCCTGCCAACACTTTGTTTTAGAGTGCTGATATTGAGAGTTGTAAGAGATAAGTTTGTTGTTCTAAGGCACTGGAGTTTATGGTGATTTCTTATGCCAACCCTGATGTTAAGAGTTGTTGAGCCATTTCTGACTCACAGTGACCCTGTATAGGGTTTCCAAGGAGCGGCTGGTGGGTCTGAACCACTGACCTTGTAGTTCAAACCAACCTTACCCTACAGTGCCATAGCAGGACTCATAGGAGGGCTGCAAAGGGCACACAAATTAAAATCTAATTTTTTGTAAAGCTAATACAAAATTTAAAAGCTAGTAAGCTTTTAAGGAGCACAGTGGTTACGAATCGGGCTGCAAACCTCAAGGTCAGCAGTTTGAAACTACCAGCTGTTCTGTGGAAGAAAGATGAGGTGTTCTGCTCCCATTAAGATTTACAGCCTCGGAAACCCTGTACAGGGTCGTTATGAGTCGGAACCGACTCCACGGCACATAACCATCACCACCAAGCTAGAATTGGACTCCTGGTGTGGCGCTGTAGGATAAGCACTGAACAGCAAACCAAAAGGTCAGTGGTTCAAACCCACCAGAAACCCTATACAAGGTCACTATGAGTCAGAACTGACATGATGGCACTTAACACCAGCAACAATTGTCTCCTTTAGAAGTGACACCCATAATTTTTAGGGGGGCACATGGTAGACTAGAACCAACTCAATATCACTTAACAACAACAACAAAGCTAGAATTAAATGACTTTTTAAGAGGCTCTAGGCTATGAATCTTTGACCATCTCTTTATCACAGAGAGCTTGGTAGTTCGATTTCTGGGCTCCCTTGGAGAAATAAAGCTGACCAGGCCTCTTGGTTGTCCACAGAGGAGGAGGCTGTGAAAGGCAGTGCCCAGCTAACTAGGGGATGCCTTTGGCTGACCTGGCTTTGGCTCCCACACTGGCCACTGGGACTTGGTTACTTGATGGTCCTTCCAAGTAAAGGCCTAGAGAGCTCCAGTGAACGGGACTTGCAGGGTTGAGAGACTTACGCTAACTGCCGCAGCAACTCTGTGGAGCTTTTCCCGCCGACACAGTTAAGGGCAAGCCGTGGCTGGGGAATGGTCTACAAAACAGGGAACTCACGGAGAGGGAACTGCCATTCTCATGCCCCACCTCCCCCATCCCACCCCAAGGTGCTGGCAACCAACTTTCCTGCTTCAAGTGCTGTGTCAGAAGGAGGGAGGGAAGAAAATAGAATGTTCAAACTTTAGATTCTTTTTTTTGCCCAAGAAGGGCCTTCTCTCTGCCACCAACTTAATCCTATTGTCTGTTTTAGAGACTTGGTTCAGAACTCATTTTTCCAGGTTATCTATTGACGTTTGTCTTTCATAAACCTGAGTGCCCCGATTCTCAGTTTATATTAGATGTGCTGGTCTACTGCTTCAGAAATGTTGTCAAGAGTAGTGTGCTCTCGAGTGAATAGTCTCCTCAGGTGGGTCAGAAACTAAGATGGAGGTATCTCCCGAGTTTGCTCACTTACTAAACATGTGTTGGGTGGTGGATGCTCTAGATTCTTGACTGGCTTTGGAGTCAAAGAGCTGGGCCCAGACCTGACTCCACCACTTACTTACTAACTATAGGGTCTTGGTCAAGTTTTTAACCTTTGAATCTTGGTTTCCTTATATATACAATAGATGATGCCTACTTTGTACAGCTCCGAAGCACGTGGTTCTGTAAGATAAGCACTGGACTGTCTACCACAAGACTCTCAGCAGGAGAAAGGTAAGACTTTCTACTCAGTAAAGATTTACAGCCTTGGAAACTATATATGGTCACTATGAGTTGGAACTGATTGGATGGCACTTACAACTTGGTAGAGCAACTGTAGGGATTATTGGATGAAATGTATGGTCGGTGCTTAGGAAATGTTTCTCTTCCCTCTCTCTTAGTTTCCTCATATCCTCTTACGGCTCTATGACTCACACTAGCTGTGTGGGCTGACATGTTGTTAAGTGCCATCAAGTCGGTTCTGACCCATAGCGACCCTGTATAGGGTTTCAGAGGAACAGCTGGTGGGCTTGAACTGCCAACCTTGCGGTTCAAACTGACTTTGCAGCCCAGCGTGTTAACCCACAGCGCCACACCAGGACTCCATGCATATGTTAGGAGGGAGCTAACAGTGGGAGCTGACAGCAGGGCACCTGGGGAGTTTCTTCCCCTTTCCCAGTTCCCTTATGATATCAAAAGACCCTAGCCTCTGCCCCTAGTGTGGTAAAACTTCAGGAATCAGCCGGTTGCCACTACACACAGCTATGTTTCATCCTTTGTTGCTAACAGGGTATTGTCGGTAAACCATCTCTTTTATTCTCTTTGCTGTAATAAACTAATGTCCCTCAGATTGAGTTCTGGTCATTTTTTTTGGGGGGGGGGTGTGTCTCTCAGCACTTATGTACTCAGAAAGCTTTTCCTTTCTGGGCCTGAAACCCAACAGAGGTAATCTCTCTCATCCCAGGTACCTTAAAGATGTTTTTCATCTCTGGCTTTCTTAGCTCCTCCTCTGTGATCACGTGTTCAGCTCCCAGATTCTTTAGTCTGTGGGTCAGCTTCTGGATGTCAGGTCTGGGAACCAAACACAATCCAAGTCACAACTGCTTGTTTTCCCTGCCCCTCTGCGGCCATTCTGAGAAAATGAAGTTCTCTTTACAGGAAGTTGGGATTGACTGGGATCCAGCCAGGCCTTGATTAGGGGGCTGGCCACCTGATTTCATCATCTTTCACCACTTCCCCCAACTCCATCCATTTCTTCACTGGTATGAGAAAGCTAAGCTGGTGATTTCTAGGGCCTCTGGCAGTCCCTGGATGCTACAAATATGTGCCCAGGGAAAAGGCATTTCACCTCCTAATTTCTTCTACTCAGCAGACACACTCCACTGCCTTTCTCCAACTTTCTTTTCAAGGGGCTCTGCAGAGTGCAGGGCTCAGCTCTGGATGACTCTCAGCACACAGAATGCTTGTTGTCAGCTCAGTTGCAAGTACTGGGGGGACTGAAGCAGTAGTCCCCTGCTGAGGGGCTGGACTTGACAGACATGGCCATGTTTGGGGATAGTGGAGACCAAAGGAATTGGATGGTATGATGGGAAGCGAACTCAGTCTGTTACTCAATTACTGAGTCTCCCCGAACAAGTTGCTTCCCCTCTCTGAAGCTTCAGTCTCCTCATTCCTTCACATCTATAGTCAGCATACCTTCAAGTCCCATACAAATGCAACGGAAAATAGGACTTTGGAGTAAATAGTTCCCAGAGATAATAACATAGCACAAAATATTCCCCAGTATGAACTGTGGTTTTGAAAACATGGGGCTATCACAAGTCAAAGACTCTTAGCTGTTCAGTAAGGAGAGTCTCCACCTCTTTCCTGCATCCTTTTACATTTCAAAAATTCACTCATCTATAGCCCAAAGCCACCTGGATTGCATTTCTGGTGGCTGACTCATCTGTTTCAAGGGCCAAATGGTAGCCAGTGGTTTTCTAATCTTAAAGGTGTGTTGCTTGTACAGGGTGCCATCTGGTGGACACGTGGGTAACTGCAGGGCTATAACTGAGTACCCAGATCTGACAAATGTGGGAATTTATTATTGTGGTGGTAGTGAAATGCCGTCAATCGGTTCTGACCTACAGCGACCCTGTATAGGGTTTCTGAGGAGCAGCTGGTGAGTTTGAACCACTAACCTTGAGGTTCAAACTGACCTTGTGGTCCAGTGCTTTATCCTACATGTAGCACCACACTAGGAGTCCAATGTGCGAAGACCTACAACTATTGAGTTATTTCGACCTCTAGCGACACTATATAGGGCTTCTGAGACTGGAAATCTTTACAAGAGTAGACAGCTTCATCTTCTTCCTATGCCATGGCTGGTGGGTTTAAAGCCTTCACTTTGAGGTTAGCAGCCCAATGCCTAGCCCACAGTGCCGCCAGGGCTCCTTGTAACTAGAACATGGAGGATTGGTACTTTTCACACCTGCCCAATGGTCTGGAATAAGGCCTGGCCACGCACCTGTCTCTGATCACGTTGATGGTCCTCAGGCCCAGGGCTGCAGCAATCTGGATGACTGCTTGCCCCACTCCACTGTTGGATGCATTCTGGATGACAGAGTCCCCTGAGGAGCCAGGAAGAGACCCCCATCAAACCCTGGAGACCTGGAATACATACATATTATAGGGCAAGAGACAGAGCCTATAGGCTCCAAAGGGGCCCAGGACCTGACTGCTAAGACCTTGGATTGTTGCTCACCTTCCCTGCTGTGACCCCAAACTTTCATAACACCCGCAAAGCCAGCCAGGGCTTGGCAAACTCAGTCCATGCTGGATATATTTTGGACCGTCCTTCTCCTCCTCACAACTTTTACGGCCTCAGTCTCTGCTTAGGTTCCTTCCTTGGTTTGCAATGCTTCCCTCTCCCCTCCTTGAAATACGATGACTCCTTTGAAACACAGATCAAGTGCTGCTTCCTTCATCAAGTCCTTCCTGGGTTCTCCTCTCTAGGTGCTCTTCGAGGAATGCATGCCCCATCTTACGTTCAGTTGTAGAAAAGTCCATTTCTATCAATAGCGTGTGGCCTCTTAATTGAAAAGGACACATCTTACTCTCCTCTGCATTGTGTGATAAACTTGTGCTGCCTGGCAATGAGATTGGGACTGTAATGGAAATGGGCCTAGCTTTGGAATTAGCCAGTGAGGGACGCCATGTGGCATGCTGGGAAAAGTATGGGCTGTGGAACAACATGCACCTGGATGTGAGAACCAGCTTCACCACTTAGCTTAACAGAATGAGATGGGGGTAGGAGTTAGGAGGTTAGGAGAACCAATCAGGGCTCCAGGGCTAATGATACTGAGTTTTTCCATTGTCTCTTTCCATAGGTGAAGTCAGTTTGATTCCTGTGTACACCATCTGTTGAGGTTCATGTGTATAATGGCCTTTTATGTTTTAAAAAAATATTTGCAACAAATAAGTCACTGGTCTTGCAAAATCCTACCATGTGATCTCCAGCATCATTTCCATCACTAAGGTCATATTTTCCAAACACTGACCCTAGCTTTTTGTTTCCAATCCTAGTAATTATCAATACATTTTGACTGCATGTTTGATCAATTTCAGACTGAAGATGTTGGTAGAATTCTTCAATTTCAACATCACTGGCTTCAGTGGTTGGTGCATAAATCTGAATAATCATGGTATTACCTGGTCTTCCTTGTAGGCATATGGATATTATCCTATCACAGACAGCGTTGTACATCAAGACAGATCTTGAAATGTTTTTTGATGATGAATGTGATGCCATTCCTCTTCAATTTGTCATTCCCTGCATAGTAAACCACGTGATTGCCAGATTCAAAATGGCCAATACCAGTCCATTTCAGCTTACCAATAATTCACAGGATAGCAATCTTCATGTGTGCCATTTAATTTTTGACAACTTTCAATTTTCCTAGATTCATACTTCATATAGTCCATGTTCCGATTACTAATGGATATTGACAGCTGTTGCTCCTCATTTTGAGTTGTGCCCCATCAGCAAATGAAGGTCCTGAAAGCTTTACTTCATTCATGTCATCACGGTCAACTCTACTTTTAGAAGGAAGCTCTTTTCCAGTTATATTTTGAGTATCTTCCAACCTGAGAGGCTCATTTTCCCATACTAAATTCTGACAATATTCTGGTGCCATTCATACTGTTTCCATCTTCCGGCATTATATCTGACAGTGTTCCACTTCTATATACAAGGTTTTCTGAGGCTAACCATTCAATTCAGGAGTAGTCTGCCTTTCCTTCCTAGTCTAAGTCTGGAAGCTATGCTGATGGTATTTAAAATACCGGTGGCATAGTTTCTAGCATCTTAGCAACATGCAAGCCATCACAGTATGACAAATGGACAGAGGAGTGGTGGCTGTGGATGCTAGCGGAGTATACTGTAAAAATGGAAAACTCTAGCACGTGTCTAAAACGAACCATCTCAGAAGCTGAAGTGGGGAATCGCACTACCATCTAAGAAGAGTCAGCAATGGAGCGTGTTGAATCTCCTTGATCCAGGACAGAAAGTTGGGACTCTCAAATCCTGGGAGTGGGAGGAAGTGGCCCAGCCTGTTCTCTGTAGGTTAATGCTAACTGGAGCCATCACCTTGATTGTTCTGCTCTGAAGGTTTAATGCCGTCAGTGGAGGGAAGGCAGGTCAAGGCACTTAGGCCAACTGGAAAGTGCTATAAATGATGAGTGGAATGAACACTGAATTCAGCACTGTATTCAAAACACAGGGACTGTGTCTAGCCTCTGCTTTAGATTCCTACACCTTAGATTAGCACAGTTGAATAAGTTTTTGCTGAATGAAAGAATTCCACTCCAATCTCTAGGGAATGTGACCCTTGCCCGTTTTTGAGTGTATTCCTCATGAGGTTTCAGTATATTTTCTATGAACCAAGCAATCTCTTTCTAGATAAGAGCAGCCATAACACACACTCTGCCTGGTTAGTGGCCTGTGTTCCTCTCAGACCCTTGCTGGTAAGTTCCTATGGTCCCAGGGTCAAGATTTTGGCAGTGTCCTGTGGGGAGAGCCTTTGAGGCCCTACCTGGCAGTAGCTGCTCAAAGTCCATCAACATCCTATACGCTGTGCAGGGATTGACACCCAAGGTGGCAGCACTCTGAAGAGGAATGTCACTCGGAACTCCGATCAGCGCTTCTTCACTGAACACAGCCTCAGTTCGCCAGGTTCCTGAGTCAGAGGAGAAACCCAGAGTAGTGACAAAGGATCCCTGTCCACTCTCCCTAGGATGGTACACTTCAAGTAACCCTTAGAGAAAACCAGAAAATCTGGAAGTCTCTTTTCAATAACTTTGAGTCCCGTGACAATCATGTTGTTGTTGTTGTCAGGTGCCATCGAGTCGGAACCGACTCATAGCGACTCCATGCACAGCAGAACGAAACAATGTTCGATCCTGGGCCAACCTCACCACCGCTGCCACCCCCGAGTCCATCAATGATGCCACCTGGCCGATCCATCTCGTTGGAGGTCTTCCTCTTTTTCTCTGACCCTCCACCCTACCCAGCATGACATCCTTCTCCAACGATTGTTTCCTCCGGACTACATGTCCAAAGTAGGAGAGACGAAGCTTAGCCATCCTGGCCTCCAAGGAGCACTCTGGCTGCACTTCTTCCAAAACAGATCTATTGGTTCTTTTGGCAGTCCATGGCACCCTCAGTATTCTCCTCCAACACCACAACTCAAAGGCATCAATTCTTCTACGATCCTCTTTATTCACTGTCCAGCTTTCGCATCCATATGAGGCTATTGAAAACACAATGGCCTGGGTCAGGCGCACCCTAGTCCTCAAGCTGACATCTCTGCTCTTCAATACTTTAAAAAGTTCCTGTGCAGCAGATTTGCCCAGTGCAATACGTCGTCTGATCTCTTGACTGCTACTTCCGCGAGTGTTGATAGTTGATCCAAGAAGAATGAAGTCCTTGACAACTTCAATCCTTTCTCCATTGATAAGAATGTTGTTTATTGGTCCAGTGGTTAGGATTTTTGTTTTCTTGACATTGAGATGTGACAATCATGGAAGGTCAATTTTGTTATTCCCATTTTACGAATGTGGAAGCAGAGGTTCAGAGAGGTTACCCGACGTATCAAATGTCACACAGCAGATCTCAAGCTGTAGTGGACTCTGAGAGGAGGGACAGTAAGCTCATCACCAGAACATGAGAAGCTGAGATAGCCCTGCTGTTCCTAGTCAGTCCGCATTCTTCTCAGCTAGGGCAGGCTGACTCTCTGGGTGGTTTTATGAGAAACAGCATGAAGACAGCATCAAGAGGTCTAGGTTTGAGACCTGGTTTTGCGACTCTGCTATTTTGGACAAGTTCCAAAACCACACTGAGTCGTGGTTACTCTAATACGTAAACGATGATGGTATTAACAGTCTGACTGGCCCCCTCTAAGAGCAGCGTGCAAATCTATGCTGTGTCAGCCGAAAAGACATAACTGACGACCCCACTGCACACTCCAGTGCCAGACAACAGATCATCAGAACCTTAGCACTGAGCAGGTCCTTAGAGTATCACTCAAACTCCTTGTTTGCGTGAACAGAGGCAGCGGTGTGCCCAGAGCCACTTAGCTAGTATGGGCAGAGGTGAAGCTAGAACCCAGGAACCTAGGCTACCTCCCTTCCATCTATGGAGGTTTACTGTGTACCTGTGCTGAGCCAGGCACTTTACTAGGTGTTGGGATTTAACAGCTGAACAGCACAGCCACGTCCGTCCCTTGCTTTATGGAGCTTTCGTTCTAGTGGAGAAAGTGAAAAGCAAAAAAGCAAATCAAAGAAATAAAAATAAAGAAACAGAGTGTAGTAGTGAAGATAATGACTTCAGGTGGGAGCCAAGAAAGGCTTCTTGGGGGAGGTAATGTTAAGGTGAGAGCTAAAGGAGAGAGACACTAACCACTCAAAAGAAAGCACAGAACATTCTAGACATAGGGCAAGACTGAGGCAGGAAAGACAGACGACCAGGACTGGCAGAATCCACACTGGTGGACAGGGAGTGATGGCATGTCAGCTACATCTCGAGTCCCTCTGCCATCACTCCCTGTCCACCAGTGTGGATTCTGCCAGTCCTGGTCGTCTGTCTTTCCTGCCTCAGTTGTGTTTTGGAAAGTCAATAGGACTTGATGAGGATTGGGTGAGAGGGACAGGACCTCCTTGGCTCATGCCACTGGAAACAAGTAAGCAGTTGAATAGGACACACTTGGGTGTCAGACAGAAGCAAATTTAAGTCTTGGCTCTACCATTTACCCGTAAGTTATTACTTTAGCAACTTGCTTGGAGTCCTGTTGGTTCAAAGTGTTTGGTGGCTATGGTGTCTCAGGGGCCCTTGGCCTACACGCTTCAAAGCTCTGGAGTGCATCCACTCTCTATCCAGCTGCTGGGGTTCTAACAGTGCCTGTCCCACATGGTCAGCTGTGGGAAGCAAGGCTTGCCCAGGTTACTACTAATTGCTTGAAGAAGGGGAAAACAACATGGGCTTTACGGACTAGGAACTGGGGAGGAGAGGTGGGGACAGTATTAAAGGTGTTCCAGTTCCTGAGTGGACCTGTGGCTGAGAAAATCAGAGACTGAGAAGCTGAGTGGGGGCCATTTGAAGCCCACCCCTTGGATCCAGAAGGTGCCCTGGCATTCTCTGGACTTCGTCCTGCCTGGTTTTCAGATCTGTCATGTCATTTTCATAATCATCAGCCTCAGTCACCCAGGCTGACATTTACTGTGCTCTGTACTCTGTACTGGACATTGTGCATGGGGCTTTCTAATTCCCTGTAATGGCATGACTATGGAAATCCAGCCCCTGACATGGATTTCGGGGGTTTAGCAGTCCCTAATCCTCTTCCCCAAAGAGCCTGGGTGGGATGAGGCAGTGCCCAGAATCAGCTCTCCAGGCTTCCAGGGTTTTAAGTAGAAACCCTTAGACCATGGACTGGGAGGCGCCTGCTTTGAAATCCCTGCTCTGTCACTTACTAGTTGTGTGATCTCGAATTATCACTTCAGCTTTTTGAAGCTTGTTTCCTGCTCTGTAAAACTAAGACAACAACACTTACGTTATAGTGCAAGGATGAAAAGAAATGGCAGTCGGCTAGAGATTCTCGCTGTGCCTGAGGAGGTGTGTACCATCTTGGTTTCCTTTCCCGATTCTGCTCCCATGCTCTAGCTATGAGGACTCCCATTTCTCACTCAGGCACAACTGACTCTGAGCCATCTCTCTTATCTAATGTGGAGCCTGGTGTGGTGCTGCAGGATAAGCACTGGACTGTAAGGTCATTTAAACCACAAGGTCGGCAGTTCAAACTCACCAGCTGCTCCTTGGAAACCCTATGCAGGGTTGCTATGAATCGGAACCAACTTGATGGCACTAAACAACAACATTATCTAATTCAGGGGGTTAGCAAACTACAGCCCACAGGCTGCATATGGCCCGCTGCCTGTTTTAGTAAATCAAGTTATATTAGAACACATCTATGCTCACGAGTTTATGTACTGTCTATGGCTATTCACAGTAGCAGAGCCAAGTACGATATGATCTGCAAAGTCTAAAATATTTACTATCTGGCCCTTCAAGTAAGCTTGCTAACCCATGATCTAATGCATACAGAAGTTCAGAGTTTACACAGCATCTCTGCATACACTCCCTCAATTGCACTGCATGAGTCTGCCCAGATAGGCAAGGTAGAGACTATTCACACACTACAGAGATGGGGTACCTGAGGTTCAAGGTAGCTGTGACTTACACAAGGTCATACAGAGGAGTTGGAAGGAGAAACTACCCCTGATGCCATGCCGGTGCTCTTCCTCCTGCCCTACAAGCTTTGAGTGTTTCCCAATGAAAAAGTCAGTTGGCAAAGATCTGTGCACACCCTCTGATCCAGTCTTCCCTGGGACTGTGGGAAGATAAGAGGTGGCACTAGCCCAGCAACAGTTGGGCAGCTCATGACCACAAACCACTACCAGGATCCGGCCACTGAGGACTTAATCGGTTTCACGACTGCCACACTTATGAAACTGCAGTTTTCCTGAGAAGAAAGACTCCGTCTGTTCACTGCTGTATGCATCCCAGAGCTCAGCATGTTCCAGATGCTCACACAATGTTTACTGAATAAACTGAGTTAATTATAGTTCTGACAATTACAAAATCCCCATCCTCCCTGACTGGCACCTTGTTTAAAAGACTCACCTTTTCTCCCAGGAGGAATCTCTGTTCTGGCTACCCCCCCACCACACTTGTAATTACCTACACACCTGGTAGACATCCTTTATTCGTCTCCTCTCCAAATCCAAATGATTACCAAGCGCCGTTACTTTAGCTCTTTAGTCTGCCCGCTCTTCTCCAGCCCAGTCTTATTCAAACCTTCATCCTCTGAAGCCCTGAAGGGTTCAGCCACCTCCTCACTGGTCACCTGCCTCCAACACAAATCTGATCAAATTACTCTTCAAATGACTCTTCATTGGGCCCCCTCTGACTGTCAGCCGCAGCTTACCTCTAATGCTTCATCTCTACTTCTCCCTGCTTCCTCCTTTGCTACCACAGCACAGCTACATGAAGCTACCTCCCATTCTCTGCTGTGTTGTGCCTTCAACCATAGCCAGGCCTTTGCATGTGGTGTGCTCTGTCTAGGAAGTCCTTGACCACCCAGGCTGCTGGCTGCACATCCAGTCTGTCTTCCTAGTTAAAGCATCACTTATCTGCAAAGCTTTTCTGGATATTTCCCACCACAGGGGGCTCTTGTCTGGAGGAAACACTGAGCGCATTGCCTGCATCTTCCACTTGTAGCGGGAGCATTTCGAGGGCAGGACTGTGTCTGGTCCATGTTGTCCTCCCCTCAGCATGGGGACTGGTTCACAAAGCACCAATCAGCATCTAGTGAGATCCTTGCAGCTTGCAACTTGCTCAGATGGCTGGGCTCGTTCAGTAGCAGGTGAGGGTGAGGGTGGAGCCATTCTCAGAAGCTTCCCGAGCTCAGAGACAAAGAGCTTGTAGCAGACTTCTGTTTTTGTTTTATGCCTAGTACCTTTACCTTTCTAGAACTGCTTCTTCCTAACCTCTGGGGCTGCCAACCCCATGGGTTTATCCTCCATAGTGCAGATGTGGGTGAGAAACCCAACCAGGGCAACCATAGTGACCCAACCTCACCTGCCTGCTGATTGGTTCAGTGATGGGCAAGGATCCAGGCAGGGTCGTCATATACCAGAGTGGGTTTGAATCTTAGCTCCACCACTTACTAGCTAGGTGACCTCGAGTCATTCACTTAATCCTTTAACTCTACAAAATGAGAATAATAAAAGTATCTACCCTGTGCTGTGGGAATAATTGAGTTACTATGTGTGAAGTGCTTAGAACAGTGCCTGGCACAAAGGGAGTGATCAATAAATACATTTTTTCCATTATCACTATACCAAGCTGTGGGGAGATCTCAGCTGAGAACAAATGAGAATAAGAGAGAGACACAACTCTGACGTAGCATTGATGTTTCCGGATCCAGATGTCCCTGAAGCTTTCAGTCTCTTGTACTTCTTAGTTTCACAGGCCAACTACATCTTTTTTTTTGGTAAAGCAAGCTTGACATGGATCTCTGTAAATTATAACTCAAAGAGAGTGAAGTGGGAAAAAAACACAGGGGCCAGGTGGACTCCCTCTGTTTGCTCTGAGAGTTTGGGTAAAAGCTTTACTTCTCAAGCCGTAGTTCCTCACGTGTCTGACGATGTGACTCATGTCTGCTTATTTGTGTTTCCATTTGTACAATGGCTATACCATGAAAAACTGTCAAAACTAAACGGTGGCTCCCTAAACTGTATCAAGGAAAATCCCAACTTCTCAGCTGGTATTTCCAGGGCCTTACCTATATGAAGAGCAAAGATGTCAGTTGAGAACTAAGGTGCGCCTGGCCCAAGCCATGGTATTTTCAATAACTTCATATGCATGTGAAAGCTGGACGGTGAATAAGGAAGACCATAGAAGAATTGATGCCTTTGAGTTAGGGTGCTGGAGGAGAATATTGAAAGTGCCATGGGCTGCCAAAAGAATCAATAGATCTGTTTTGAAAAAGTGCATCCAGAGTGCTCCTTAGAGGCCAAGATGACCAAACTGTCTCTCATACTTTGAACATATATATTGTCAGGAGGGAGCAGTTGCTGGAGAAGGATATCATGTTTGGTAAGGTGGACAGTCAGAGGAAAAGAGGAAGACCCCAATGAGATGGACTGGCCAAGTGGCAGCACCGATGGACTCAAGCATGGCAACAGTAGTGAGGTTGGCCCAGGATTGGGCAGTGTTTTGTTCTGCTATGCATAAGGTTGCTATGAGTAGGTACCGACTCAATGGCACCTAACAACAACAACAACCTATATGATGGGAGCGGAGTGGCTCTAAAGGATAAGTTGTTGTTGTTGTTAAGTGCTGTCGAGTCGGTACATAGCGACCCTGTACAGGGTTTCCGAGGGTGTAAATCCTTACGGGAGTAGAAAGACTCATCTTTCTCCCGCGGAGCGGCTGGTAATTTCGAACTGCTGACCTTAAGGTTCGCAGCCCGATTAGTACTGGACTATAAACCACAAAGTTGGCAGTTAGAGCTTACCAGCCACTCTATGGGAGAAAGATGAGGCTTTCTGCTCCCGCAAAGATGTACAGCTTCGGAAACCCTACACAGTGCCACTATGAGTCAAACCTGACTCGATGGCACTTAACAATTCTATATTGTCCCATCCTACCTCTCTGGTCTTCTCACTTACACAGTCTTTGCCCACATGCAAATCCCCTGCTAATGCTACACCGGATTTCCTGCCACTTCCCAAACACACCTCTGTGTTTTTGCTTATTTTGTTTCCTCTACACAAAACGATTATGACTCATCTCCACCTAACAAAATCTATCCACCAAGGGCCCTGTTGATGAAACGTCTTCTAGGAAGTCATACATACACACATGCACAGAGTAGCAGGAAGTGCCCCCTTTACCCATGAATGTGTATCACTCCCTTTACTGAGGTTCAGAGAGTTCTTACATTAGATTGTAACCCCTTGGAGGGGAAGGCCATCTGATTTGTACATGGGGTCTTCAAAAAGTCAACGGAAAAATTCCAGTATCTTTTCACGACATTTTTTCATGAACCTTTGATAGCCCCCTTGTATTTATTCCTCATTATACCTTGTAGCAGTGATTCACAGACATAGGGAGACAGAGAATTACTGTTCAAATCAACATGGACTCAGGGAGAAGAGGTACATCATCGACAGAAATGGAGAATTTCTGCTTCCCTGTTGTTCAGCTCCTATCCCTACTGGTGGTCTTACATGGCCTAATAATAAATTTTGCTTTGCTTAGTTATGCTGAGCCAATGAGCAAACATTGACAATGTGGATGAACACCAGTAAAGGCTACAGACACCTGGAGACACTTACCCAAGCCGGCATTTGCTGGAATCACCCAGTCTCCTGGCTTTATCCCAGTCACATTGCTGCCCACTGCTACCACCTGTCCAACACCTTCGTTTCCTCCGACAGCAGGCAGTTTGGGAAGGAGGCCATAGTTTCCTAAAAAAGAAGGGCACAAGGAAATATCCATCCAACTAAGTCTGGACGGTGAAAGAGTATGAGCTTTGGAGTTAGACAGACCCAAGCCTGATCCGAGTTCTGCCTCTGTGAGCTGTGTAACTAACCTCTCTGAGCCTCAGTTTCCTCATCTGTCTCTAGTTGCCATCAAGTCGATTCTGACTCATGGCAACTGCACTCCATCGGATTTTCAAGGCTGTAATCTTTTGGCAAGATATTGCCAGGCCTTTCTTCTGAGATGCCTCTGGGTTGGTTCAAACTGTCAGCCTTTGGGTTAGCAGCTAGCACTTTAACCATGTATGCCACCCAGGGACTCCTCATCAGTAGGAAGCATCTATGGTTATGTGTGAGGCTTAGATCAGATAATAAGTGAAATGAGCCCAGCATATCTTCAGCATTTCACAATGGTTGGTTTACTCTCACTGAAATGTTAACTCTCAAAAAGTCTCAGATTCCAGAGAGGGGAGGCCAGAAAGGGCAGACACAGTCTGCAAATGGCTCATCTGGAGAACAGCTGCTGCTAATCAGAGGAATTTCACGCCTGCACCTGAGAAGGAATAGCAATGAGGGGGCAGCTAAGCAAAAAAATCCAATTAACATAATCCACAGAAACCAAGGTTACCTTGGATCATATTTATGTCAGATGGATTGATAGGGGCCGCCAGCATCTTCACATGGACGTCTGATCCGCCCATAACAGCTAGCTCCAGGTTCTTCAGTCTAAGCACAAAGCCAAAGAGAGACATTAAATGTCACCCAGGCTAGACGAGGTGTCTTTCACTCAAATCATCCTCCCCAAAGTAGGTCAGGCGACTACATGTTTGAGCTGCCACTGTGTGCCCAGTGTTCTGTTAGAATGAGCAGTGCTGTAAGGAATCAGTCCAAGGTACACGTTAACTTTCTCCTTACCTGCAAGTGGGTCTTCCCCAGTGACCCTGCAACCCCACTGGTCAATTTGGAATAGGAAATAGTCATGACCTTTGTTGGCCTGGATTAGCCTTGGTTCTCAGAAATGCCTGATCTTAAGAATCCTCTGGTGTACTTAGTAAGAATATAGATTTTCAGGCCCCAGTCCAATCTCCTGACCCACGTAAGTGGTAGCCCAGGTAATTCTTAATGAATAAACTTATCTGGGAAATGCGGGGCTAGCTTATCTTGGCCTCAATAGTCCCGCCTGTTGCAGAGGGGGTGGAAGAAAAGAGTCATAGCCTCTGAGGACTGGAAAGAACACCTGGGTGAGTGTGATTCACCCCTGGTAGCAACGACCCTTCTTGGGTGAGGGTCCTGGTCTGTCTGGACAGAGCTGGGGGGTGTGCGTGTGTGTCTCAGGTGTGAAGCTCCACACCTAAGGAGGGTTCTGCCACCTCGGGCAAGTTTCTTCCTTGCTCCAGGCTTCCTTTCTCCACTTGGAAAGTAGCAGTGTGAGATGGTGGTAGTTTGGATTTGCTCACTCGGGAGAGTCTCTCTCATTGTAAGTCTAAATGTTAGTTCCCTTTGTCCCGGTGGGTCCCAGACATCATGAAACCATTATCTTTACCCCACTGGAACTTTGGTGAAGGGATAAAACCTTTTGAGGGAGGCTAACAGTGCCAATTTCCATGATGTCTTTTGTAATTAAAATTAAAAAAGAAAAGAAACGCATATATATATTTTGAGGAGACCATCAACCAGACAGCACTAACAAGTGGGCGATGCTCGTGGACCCCTTGACTGATTATCAGATTCCTTTTCTTTCTTTCTCCATGCCCTTAAGACTTCATGTTTCCAATGCTTTTCTCTGCCCAAACGTATTTCTTAAACAATAATTCTCCTAATTTTTACTTACCAATGGCATCAGAGGTGATAGCGTTATTGCACTAAGCTGACACAATCCCACCCACTGCCCGCAAAAAAATCTGACCTCTTGTTATGATGATACCTGAGGCTTGGTCTTTACTATTACTATTAATATAAAACTAGAAATATTTTGTACTAATAGTAATAGTGGTGGCAGGCATTTATTAGGAGCTTGGTATACACCAGTCCTGTGCTAAAGACTAAGCATGAGCCAACTTTTCATGAGGAGAGTATTCCTATTCCTCTTCTATCAAGTAGGAACCTGGAGATGATGACACTCTTACAGAGAAAGACGCCTGGTGAGAGGCGGGGCTGATCTAATTCCAAAGCGAGTGTTCTTATTTATTGTGTCCTGGCGGTACTGTAGAATAAGCACTGAACTTCTAATTGCAAGACTGGCAGTTCAAACCAACTAGCCACTCCGTGGGAAAAAGATGAGGCCATTTGCTCCCATAAAGACTTACAGCCTTGGAAACCCTATACAGGGTGTCTCTATGAACCAGAATAAACTTGATGACAGTGCTTATCCCCCCCACCCCCAAACCCACTGTCACCCAGTTGATTCTGACTCATACCTACCTGTACGAGAGGGGAACTGTCCCCAAAGGGTTTCCAAAACTGTAATCTTTATGGAAACAGACTGCCATATCTTCTTCCCAGAGTGGCTGGAGGGTTTGAACTGGTGACCTTCTGGTTAGCAGCCAAGCACTGAACTACTGAGCCACTAGGGCTCGATACCAGGATCCTGAAATTAGTTTGGGGATTCCTTTGAAGAGCTGGGGTAGGGACCCCTGTATTGGATCCTAACCAAAGAAAAGGAAGCCAGGACTTGAAAGTATATAGACAAACTCCTTACAGAAGATGGTTAACTAGCAGCGGGTTGGGGAGTGGAGGCAGAGAGAAGAAAGGGCTTTTTAAAGTACTAATGAATGTATGGAGTCCTGGTGTGGTGCTGTGGTGTGTGGGTTAATGCAAAACCGTTTGAACTGCAAGGTCAGCAGTTCAAGCTCACCAGCTGCTCCTGGGAACCCCTATACAGGGTCACTATGGGTCGGAATCGACTCAACGGCACTTAACAACAATGAATGTATGTGCTTATACACCACCAGAGGAGAGAGTGCTTGTGCTGATAACTACTGTTTGTCAAGTGCTTACCAGTTAGGTACTACGTCAAGTGCTGTATGTGCCAGCTTCCATTTAATCTTCAGACACTATAATTCTAATTCTACAGCTGAGAAACGAAAGTAAAAATGAAGTAAATAACTGGCTCAAGGTCACCAAAAGTAGTTAAGTAGATGATCTGACTGAACCCTGGCAGTACCATGCTAGAGAAGCTGGTCCCGGACCAAGCATAGTGCAGTGGAGTTTGGGATTGTTTCTCATTGGATCTGTCTTATGGGAACAAGGAAGGGAATCAACAAGCTCCACATACACCCCCCCCACCCCTCACCAGAGGCATCAACTGAGATGGAGCTAGTGCTGTTTCTGTGAATGACTGCATTCCAAGGAAAATCCTGCCCAGAGCAAATGGATTTTGGACTAGCTGCCCCCTTTTATTATCCCTAAAGCTTCCCTCCTGCATTTTGACAGATAATCAGTTTTTCTATAAGCTGACAAAGTCCATGCGCTCAAGCAGCTTAAAGACTTTTTTTCTACACATTTTTTGTACACATTCTTCCTCAGCCCAGAATTCCCTTTCCACAGCTCTAAACAATTAAACTCACCCTTCAAGACCCAGTTCAAATTTTATTTCCTCTGAGATGTCTTTGACCCACTTCCTGACTCAGAAAAATGATTTGTTCTATCCTTGGTGCTCCCAGTTCGGATGTACTGTTTATGACCATCTTACATGAGCTGATTGTTTTTTAGTTTATGAATTCTCACACACACACACTTGAAATGATCATGACAAAAGGTAGATTCACAATCCCTTTTCCAAAACGTTTGGGGCCAGACATGCCACAGTGCTCACATCATATATTAGATAGACCCCTGTCGGGGCTGGGGTAGCACCCTGTAATCAGACACATTCATCTTTCTGTAGCAAAAAATATGAAGCCCCACTAAGTGGGAAGTGTAAGGACCACTTCAAAACCTCAGGTCAGATCAGGTTTTGCCTCCCAACAAACTATTCAAAACTGTCAAGTGGTCAGAACTTTGTAAATTGTTTGGATCCAGGTTCAGGTCTTTCAGACTCTATGCTCAGGGCTTTTTACTTATCACCAGATCAGCTTTTTTTCCCCACTGTGGTGTGTATGTATGTGTGTGTGTGTATATATATATATATAATGTTGTTGTGTGCCGTGGAGTTGGTTCCGACTCATAGCGACCTTGCACAGGGTTTCCAAGGCCGTTAATCTTTACGGGAGCAGAATGCCTCATATTTCTCCTGCAGAACAGCTGGTAGTTTTGAACTGCTGACCTTACGGTTCGCAGCCCGATTCGTAACCACTACGCTACCAGAGCTCCTTCATATATATAAAACCAGTTGCTACTGAGTTGATGCTGACTCATGGCGACCCCTCGGATGTGAGAATAGAACTGTGCTCCACAGGGTACTTATTGACTGAGTTTTGTAGATCACTGGGGCCCTTCTTCCAAGGTGGACTTGAATGGCCAACCCTTTCAGTTAGCAGCTTAATATGTGGTTTCCAAAGCCCAGGGACTCAAAAAATATAAATACTTGCCATTTCAATCAAACGTTTGTATATGTGAAATTCAGTGACATTAATTACATTCATTATGATGTGCCAGTATCTTCACTTCCCAATTCTGCATTTTCCATCACCCTTAAGAGAGGCTCAGTGCCCATGGAGCAACGATTTTCCTTTTCCCTCCCTCTCACCCCGAGAAACCAATAAACTTTGGTCTCTAGGTATTTGCCGGTTCTGATATTTCATGTAAATGGGATCACACAGTATTTGTCCTTTGTATTTTGTGACTGACTTTATTTCACCCAGACCATGCTTTCAAAGAGGTGCTGGTGATGCCATAGGATAAGCACTGAACTGTAAGCCTCAAGGTCAACAGTTCAAACCTACCAGCTGCTCCATGGAAGACAGATGAGGCCTTCTGCTCCTGTAAAGATTTATAGCCTTGAGAACCCTAGACAAGTCACTGTGAGTCAGAACCAACTTGACTGCATTTAAACACCACCACATTTTCAAAGTTCATTCATGCTGACTTATCTCCTAGTCAGTATATGTGTATCCCTCGCTGTTACACTGTGAATTCAAGCAGGGCAGAACCTTCAGTCTTCCTTAACTCAAATGTTTATGAGCCCTGGTGCTGCTGTAGGATAAGCACTGGACTACTAACCACAAGGTCGGTGGTTCAAACCCATCAGCCACTCCTTGGGAAAATGATGAAACTTGCTAATCTCTTGGAAACCCTACACAGGATTGCTGAGCTGGAACCAACTCCATGGTGGTGGTTTTGGTTAGGGTTAAAATCAGTGGTTTAACACAGTACTTCACTACTTTTTCTCTCTAGTGAGAAAATGTGGTGTAGAATTGTCAGTCATTTAAGGAATCAGGAGAATGGGCTCAAACCATGGGCTTAGCTACTGAGGCTTGTACCGGGTCTCCCTGGTTTGGGGCTGTGTAGGAAAATACCCCCCACGATGCACACAAACACAAACTGAGATTATCCTTATGAGAGTCCAACCTAAGCAAAGACACAGAGTGACTTTCCTTACAGGGAAGGGTAAATACATTCACACTAAGGCTATACTCCCACACTTCTTTAAAATCAAGATGTCCATGGTCAAGAAGAGAACACAGAAAGAACGTGGATTTGAAGTACACATGCAGTCCTCGGTTTGAATCTTGCTATGGTCATTTACCAGATAGATGAGCCTCAGGACACCAGCAGTACTATGGGGA